ATTATTATCTAAAAAAATGAAAAGAGAAATAAAGAACAGTAGTTGATACATACCTTAAAATAAAATAGTTGATACATGCCTTAAAATATATTTTTTTTTTTTGCTAAACAAATTATATATTTTTTGAAATTCCCGCAATGTAAAATGCTAGTGAGGAAGTATTAGTTCTGGTTTTAAACCAAACGACAATAAAATGGTCTTTTTTTTTTTTTTGTTAAAACAACAATGTAAGAGAAAATCGCATACGTGATGATACTTTCAACAATGATTTTCTTTGTACTATATTTTGTTTTGTTTTGGATAGATCAACAATGATTATAAGAGAAAATCGCATACATGATGACACTTTCGAAGTAAGTTGCACATACTGAAAATTTTAAAATTGGCATTTTAGAAAAAGCATATTGTGGGCCGTTGAGTGATAATTCTACTTGCCATAGCAATCATCGATGTACCTGATATGGAAAGAGAGAAATAGTCAGTTACAAAGGAACCATTTCACTTCGGATGTTATGTTGCAAAACGTAATGACTTAAGTTAATAGTGAGAAACATGATCACAAACCTAAGACAAGACCAAGACCGACACCGAACTAATTACATCGACGATGATGCAATTGTGGTTTACATGGAATGTACTCCTAGAAACATTTGGTTTTGGGCTGGGCTTTAAGTAGTTCCATTTGTTGGATTTGTAATTTAAGTTTGGCTCTCTAATGAGAAAAAGGCCACTTGGTTTCTCGGCTTGGCATTGTAAAACATTTATATTTCTCCAGCAAACTAAATACTAAATCTTTTTATAAAAAAATCTTGTTTTTCATAACTATTGATGCATAAATTTATCAATCTACGGTCCGATTGGTTCGGTCCTGAAACCCAATATACCTCAAAGTTTTATTGATTAGAAACCACATATCTTATAGTTAACAAAATCATTTTCTGTGATATCTAATACTACTAAGAAAGGGTTCTTGAGCAATCCTAGAATCACCGAAAGTTATTAATTCGATATGGTTTCAAAAACATTGAATCCTATTGGTCAATAACTTCAACTCCCTAAGGATGGTGAAGTTGGTCAAATGTGTGAAAAAATATGGACTTGTGGGCCGAATAACTTGTTCCGATTTAAGAAACTTGAGTGGACAAAAAAGTCAAAAACCAACGCGCAACAAAACAACATTAGTTTAATACTCAACAACTGCCATCATCATTAGACATTAGTCCATCAAATGATGATGATATGAATAAATCAACCACACCTTCCTTTTTCCTCATTGTTTTTCCAGTCCTTTTACCTTTTTCTTTAGACTTGTTTATTTCAACTTTTAACAAGAAATTCTCTTTTTCCTTTTTTAGGATGAAATTCGTTGGCTTCTCCACAAACTCTTTATAGCAGGGAAACAAATGACGTGTAAAGAATTAAACCCCAC